TAATCAGCAACAAATCAAGCCTTTTACGAGTATGAGACGTTCTAGCCCCACTCAAGTTATCGTGGAAACTGTATTTTGGTTCAGCAAGTTCAAAACCATCATAAAAATATTTCAGCGATCGCCTGAACATTCCATTTGATCCAATTCCTCATTCAATATATTGGCAACCAGATGAGCAATCCCCTGGAATTGATCAGCTCACTTGTGCGGTGATACCTGCTGGTAAGGCGAAAATCGTCACATACGTGCTTCCCACCAATGAAACGACCTATATCGTCATAAACAGGTAAGCTTGCACCTCATAGTTTGGGACATTACATGGATGTTGCTCCGACGGGCTGAAAGCGAGCAGCTTCACAAGCTGTTCGCGACAAGGTCTACAGTCGTTTTCGCTTCAGATGCTTTATCATGTCAGGTGAGCGGAGGGGGGTGAGTTTGGTGCGGCGCAGTCCGTTCTGCACTAATTCCTGGAGCGGTCAAGTGACCACAATAGGCGAAAAGGAGTCGGTGCTGCGCAAAATCGAGCTTCCTGATACGCCCCGGCATCTACGGCGAAAACGACAACAATGATGGTACGGTATGCCGAGCCACCTGCCCAAGAATTAGTTAGAGCTAGTTTGTACTGCCGTCAGAGCCCAGATGTAACGTCCTACTTCTCTTTTATCTTTCACATAATTGTATGGGCTGCTTCAGATTCTGTGATCGAACCTTCGGTATGGGCATCTGGTACAGCGACGACGTTTCTGCCGTCGACTTTAGTCTAGATGAGATGAAAGGTCAGTTTGAATTGTCGCCTGGGCCATTTCGGAAAGAGAAATCCCCCTCCCCTCAGTGCAGCTACCTCTCCACGACTCTCAACCAGGGCACACCCTCGTATTGGGTGATTTTTCCAAATTAGCAGGAAAAATTTACGACCGTCCTCCACGAAATTTTCCCCTTTGGTACGAACCACCTCACACACTTTCTCATCCTACCTCCTGCCATCTGACAGATACTTCTGTAAAGCGAAAGATGGGAGGCCGCCGCTACCGACCGCTATTCGGAAAAATATCTAGAAATGGAGAATAGTATCAGAAATACTGAGTCACGGGTAAACAGTCATGCACTCATATGGGACTTCAAACGCCCACTCTATTCCTGAACTGATGGGTGCTGCACGATTCGCTATCCACCCGCCACTACAGAAAGTACTTTGTGCGGTTCGCCATCTAGAAGTAAGGGCTTGGAAACGGCGAAAAATCCACATTACAGAAAACGGCGACAAAATGCATCCCTGCCCTGCCAGCAAGCACAACTCAAGAACCCGTGTATCTCACAACCAATTGATGGTAAGCCAGTGTCGAGTACTGTGTCAGCCTATCCAGATACTGCAAGACTCGACCCTATAGGCGCCGGCAGGAGGGGGATCCTTATCAAGGGCCAAATACTGTATGCTCTCCCTGGCGACTGAGCCACGACCCTCACCCGGGGAATTCTCAGCAATCACTGACCTCTGTAGTTGTTGCTTTTCAAAAGTTTTCCGTTACAACAGTTCAAATTCAGACTGGTTTCCCGACTTCGACTACCCTGGAATGCCCACAGACGACTATCTACGAATTAAAACTCTCGGTGCTGGTGTGTACAAGGTGAAATATGGCAATGAAGGGGTAAGATCATTGATCATTTAAACTGGCCGAATGCTTTCTCAACCCCATTCCATTCCAGGCATGGATACGGTCGTTGACAGTCTACTACAGAATCCGATTCGAGAACGAGAAAGGAGAACCGGTCGAATTTAAGGAGCTTTGATAGTCGATCTGAGACTTTTCATAATACGCGAATCTGCCACCTGTCAATAGTGTGAGCTTGAAGGGAATCTCCCAGTGGGTAGTCTCCACACAGGAATCACCCCTGATCAAATAGATTAAACTGCTTTTTGGTAGGCACACATGTTGTGAAGATGTCTTTTCGGGTGTATAGGAGGCATCGACATATCAAATAGTCGTCTATCTCTTCCCGAACTATTTATCTCTATGAATTTTCCATTTGAGAATTGATTGAATAACTTGTAGAAAAATGTAAATGCCAATGAAGAACTGTGGCTCTGGGTTGTGTTTTTATAGTTGAGATTTGTATCATGGGTATTGTCGTTTCAATCGATATTGATTAATGACTCGGATCGTTCATTTTGCCTTTTTTCTTTCAGTAGATGGACCATGATATTTGCTGTATTCGACTTGATTCAAGATAAAATGCATCACATCTCCCCATTTTATCAGTGCATTGATTTCAATGCACAAATTTTGAATGCTTCCCACCGTGGTATTCTTAAAGACAGCTCCCGCGATAAAAGTGTCAAGGATAATTGCTGATCAATTATGAAACAGTAGCTGATAAGTAATTCCTCAATGAAGGAAAAAAAAACAAGAGCCCTCAAGAACACCATAAACAAAATCGCGCCCTGACAGTCACACCTCCCTGCGGTCTCTGTGCAAGCCCTGGCTCACAAATCACTTTGTCACATCTCCCAGTAGTGGATATCATCGAATGCGAAGAAAAGAAAACAAAAAACACAACACAGAAACATGGAGGAATAACTCTAAGAAGCGAAGGAAAAACATTTAGAAAGCCGGCGTTCGAACCTAGATTTACGGTATAGCGAGCCATGTATTTTACGCTGTAATGAAGTTCTGCTTCGAGCTTTTTCATACAGAAATTGCAGTGACTTTTTACGCGTTTTACCTTACGAGATGGGTTGCTGTTGACTGTACGTGCTCCCAATGAATAAAATGTGATGAAGGAGAGCAGAATTATCTACGAGCACGAGCGCGGTCAGCAAAAAGTACATGCAGTTCCGAATGACTGCCGTCCCAACAAGGAACAACTGAGCGGCTCTCGGTCAGAGGGCAGCTAGCTAGTGAGGCGGTCCAACTGAGCAGGCGTTAGAACTAGAACTTTCAGGCGGTTCCTCGCCTCGCTGCCAGGAGTCGCCAAGAGTGATATAGTATCTACTTGGGGGTGTGAACTACCTGCCCATAGGAAAGGACGACCCTGTACCTACTGAGCGCGGCGGCTGTCTTATAATCTGGAACGATTTGCACTTCCACGCTGTTCATGAGTTGCATCACTAGAAGAAGAGGGCATGGCCCATCCGAATCGCGCTCGCTCACGTATACTCCTTTTTATTGTATTAGCGATGTCCCGCTAAATATCATGGCGAGACCGATGCGTTATTGTATCATGCAATGGTGTGTGCCGAGAAAGGTCTAGCCCGAAAAAGCCACATTTTAATTTGACGCTGCACGCTAGCAGGCTTGTGCAACTTTTCTAGATTAGTTCCTCTTACTAGTTCTCGTAAATTCACCCTTCTTGGTAAAAAGTCAAGACTTGTCGAATGTAGGCGAAGCCCGTGCTATTCAAGAATTTTATAAGGTCCCCACGGCATAATTGGGAACTAGCAAATGCCCCACCAAGCCGACATACTTCTCAAATAGTATCGCATAACTACGAAATTACTGCACAGGCCAAAAGCATTTGACCCCACCATGAATACGAGTGGAAGACGAGTGCATGGCTTATCTCCGACGGAGCTCAATGGTTGCAAAATTCTTCAAGCTTTAATGTGTTAAAGCCTGCTGACGAGCTATTGAAATCAGACCTTTGCGAGACTTATTTAGCCCTTTTTAGTGAGTTTAACTGTCCGCTCTTTCTTGGAAAACTGTAAAGCAATTACCTATAGGAAGAGTTCACGCTGAAGGTCAGCCAGTCGATAACTGAACAAAAAACTTCATGTCGCTTGCAAGGCGCTCTTATTGCAGAGAAAGGTGCAAGGAATTTCTGAGGGACGAAGTTCCGGAGTAATTATCCTCTTGCATCTGAGTAAGATCCCTTCGACCCTTAAAGGCAAGTGGCACGATAAATCCCCAGACCTGTAGGATTAGTATGCTTGGCAGGACGGGATTCCGCACCCCTTAGCGCAGAGTAGTGCCTTTTCCAAGAAAGGCACCCTTATAAGGCCCTACCAAGCTGCAATATACCGGCCCGGACGCCCACCGCGCCCGCCCGCCCACAAATGGACGATCGCTCTATTGCTTCATCTGCTTTGCGAAGTACAATATGAAACGAAGGGACTGATGTAAAGCGGCTGCGGTGCTGCATGAACAGATGAGTATGCAGCCTATCTACCGTAGCGGTTATTGGCACGATGCCAACGGGAAACTCGTCCGAAACTGCTTTCTGAGTCGTGTAGAACAAAGGCTTTTTTGCAGGTTTTTGACCGTTTCACTTCGATGTTTCGTCATTTCACTACATGGCACCCCTGCTACCATTTCAGACCAAGTACCAAATTATCGCGCCTTATGCTTTTAATTGCAAACAGTTGTATCGCATCTGGGAGTGACATTCTTCCTAGCGTCATCAGCCTTATGAAGTTAGTCTAGCAGGCTTGGTTGGCCTGTGTGGGAGCCGATCCGGGATTTGAATCCTGGGTTGTGCGCGTGATAAGCGTGTCACTTGCCTTTACACTACCTCCGCCCAGGGTACAGCATCGTGATGTGTGAAATGGTGGTGTCAGTACGACCCCCCCTTCCTTCCCAACACCTACCTACCACTTTCCTACAAGTTCCCAGCTTCCTACCAGTTTTTCCGAAATTTCCCACATTTTCCAGTTTTTCACCCAAAAATTTTCCGTCGAGGGTCGAGCGGAGGGGAGGCACATATAGTGTAGTTCGCTGCGGACGGTTGGGCGTGTCAGTGCGGCTGCGTTTGGCGCGGTGCCAAACTCGTTCTCCACCAGTTGTTGAAGCGGGCAAGTGACACTATCA